GAGCTGACGGGTGAGAGTGAATAGGGTTGGTTTTCTTCTTTAAATTTGACTCTAACTTCCAACCTCTGCTGATCCCCATTCATTGGAACCCATTGTGAGTTTCACCAACTCCCGCAACTCTCATTATATCAGTTTTATAGTTGTTGTTTTCTCATTCCTACATCCATACGACCAGGATGGATCAAGAGATTTTGGAGTGCGATTGTATCTCTAGAAAGTTTAAATCCCATATAATTTAAGTAATTTATATGTCTATTCAAAACAAAAGTTTCACACCCAACAACCTCTTTATCATAATTCAAAAATGATTTAAGCTCAATTTCACATCTGTTGCAGAGTCACCAGAAATTTTCCCAGTAAAAACTTGGAACCAAACTGATTAATGACTCGTAAATTGCACCAGTAAAAGTTTCTTCCACGATCTGGTGTGTGCTCTCTTTGTTTCCCTCAAGTCCACGAATTGTTTGCAGAATATATAATTAGCTTGGATGAGATCAAGTTGGTCAAGAATACCACACACACACACACACCAGTCCAAAACCCTGCGTTTCCATTATGAAGAAGATGACATAAATCTGTTCAGTAGTTGTTTCTGAAAAAGAAATCAAACAGTTAAGGATGTTGATTTATGGATATGGATCATACAGGTTGGTTGAAGGTTATCTAAATTTGTAGCAGCTGGCTGGTTTGCCCCACTTTTCTGGCCATCAGTAGAAGAACTTGGCATTGACATTTTATGAGGTACTCCAGCTAGCTCAACAAGGATGCAGGTGCAGTACACTGACTAGGGGCTGGCTAAAAAAAAACAGTCAATTTATATTGACCTTGAGCACTAAATACGATAGCAGAGCTGTCTTGTCTAATATGTACTAATTTCTTCTCTTTTTTTATTAATTAGGTCAATAATTTCTTAATCTGTTGTCTAATAATGTTGGTTAAACATTAATGAAATTAACTAATTGTCTTAATATGGTAGATTCTTTCGATAATAAACCAAGCTAATTTAACTTTCAATGTAGGGCCAAAATATATATAAAAAAAGAACATTTCACAGATGCAAATGGCGATTAGTAGGAAATCACCGGATGCACGGAGAGAAGTTACAGAGGTGGCTGACGATGACTTAATTATGGGAAATATTGAAGGCATTCAAAGCCAGAATCAAGCAGAAAACAGAAGCAAACAAACCGGAAAGTTTGTAACGCCTCTACCAGGCTAAAAGATACTTCAGGTTAAAGATGTCACATTCGAAATTCGAAGCAAATTAAGATAAAATTTAGAATATTTTATTTTATTTTAATAATATTTTTTATTAAGTAGAAAAATGTTTATCTTCTCAATGTAAATGTCGAGATTCGATCCCACACAAAGTAAAATAATATAATCATCTTTGACTATTTTATGGTATTTTTAAATATAAAATCAATTGCTTAAGCCAAGTTAAATTTTAAAATTAACTTTTGTTTGAAAGTCAAATAATTATACATAGACGTTTTTTTACGTAAATCTTAATATTTTGAGGCAAATATAAATTTCTCAGAACCTATAAATTTTCATACAACACAAAACTCTTATACATGTCACTATAAACTATAATTTTAAAACAAACTTTTAACTTTTTTTTTTACGGGAGGCGTTGTGACTTGTGACTCTTTTGACGATGTAACTTTCATGGTCTCACCCCCTACCTTTCAATTAATAACACCTACTAGTGAAAGTAATTCACACACTAAACTTCACATTTAATTATAATATATATATATTAATAAAATTAGTTAGATTTATTAAAATAAAAAAACCCTAAATTACAATGAAAAAATTACAATTATAATCATAAATTAAACACATAATAAGGAGGACAATTTCCTATAATTATTAACACAAAAAACTAGTAACTTAAGATCATATAATGACCATATTAAAAAAAAGTTAAAAAACTTAATCAAATTAATTACAACAAAAGGTAAATACAAACATATCTAATTGCATCAGTAAATGAATCACGAAAAAGAATTATGCTATTGAAATACCATAAAAAACTGCAAATCAAAGTCTAGTGAAGTGAGAAAATTATTCACGAACGCATATCGTGTATCCAAAACAGATAATATCAATAGGATAACAAATAAATGTCATCTTGGTTAGTTTTGACGATGTCAAATCCAACCATGAGAAAAAAGATAAACGAAGACAAACTATCAAATGACCGAAAATGTACCTAAAGACATAGGAAAACGTATCACAAAGATAGAAAAAATGTGCCATAAGATAGAGTTATTAATTTTTTTTAAAAAAAGAAAAAAATAATATATAATAAAATAAATTAAAAACAATGATTATCGATGATCGACGATTAATACTAAGACTAATATTGTCGCCGATCATAAAAAAGAAGAAAAAACAAACAACGACATATGGATAAGAGAGAAAACTAAGATAACTTTAAGAAACCCTAATATTCACGCTCAATGATACTTATAATAACAAATAATGATGAAGGAAATATAAATATTATTTTATATATAAATATAGGATGAATATAAGGTACCATATGTTTAAAGACTTTCAATTATTTGAAAGTGAACGCTTATACCCTTATATGTGTGGTGCTTAAATCCGAGATCTCAAAAAATGAGAACAATACTCTTAACCACTAAAATCCGAGATCTCAAAAAAATGAGAACAATACTCTTAACCACTAAAATCGTTTGGTTCGTACAATACTTAAATAAAATTTTTATTATCTATTCTAATTTATTCATAAGGTGATTGTGCTTATATAAAAAATTTATATCATTAATTAACATAATATCATTATTCCCTAACAAATTATCATAATGTATAGCATATAATCAATATGCATCTAATATAATCGGTATTCATGACATACTGTCATTATGCATGTTATATCATCAATATACATATCATATAATATAAACTATTCATTGTTTATGCATCTTATTTCAATAGAAAACTTATGAATGGGATATAATATATGGACTTTATTGTTAAATTAAACCATTTCATAATAAACAAGTGAATTTTAATATTTAAAACGATTTTAAAAAAATTAAATTTATCATATTTATAATGTGAGTAAAATAAATATTTAATATAAAAATTTAGGTGTAAAATATAAAAATACTCTTACAATAATACTAAGGGTAAAGTATAATAATAGTCACTGAACTTTTCTAAAGCTTTCATTTAGGTCCCCCAACTTTTAAAACTTGCAATACAGTCCTCTAATATTTAGTCCATTTGCAATATGGTCCCCGACGTAACCCGTCGTTTGATGCCGTTACACTGCCGTTAGTATGTTTGCAATATGGTCACTAAACTTTTCAGGCACTTGCATTTAGGTCCACCAACTTTTAAAACTTGTAACACAGTCCTTAATTTTCAAAACATGTAAAAAAATCCAATTCGTTCACGATATATCAGTCTCATAATCAACATGAACTTATTAAAAAAAAATACGAGCTCACAGGACGCCGAAAACCACAGGTCGGATCAATACAATTCCCAGTAAACTAGTACCAACAGTCTCTCGGATTGAGCTTGACGATTTTACTATGTCGATACTCACAACCAATTCCATGATTTAAAGAAAAACCAAACAAGAAGATCAAAAAAATTTAGCCTAGGACCCTCTTTCACTTCTATTCTGATGGACTGAATATATTTCATAAAGAGTACTAAAAGTTTTGATTAGGAAGAAAGAAAGAAAATTAGATGGTTTTGGTTCAAAACTAACACTGAATATCCAGATCATTGACATGCAGTTCCAGAAACATAAAAATTTCAACAAAAAAACACACAATACGAGCTGAAAATAGGAAAGTGCGAAAGAGGAAAAGCTTACTTCTGGATAGACCAAAAGAGAAAATAAATACCTTCTTGCAAGTGAGGGGGAGAGGCTAAGAAATAAACGCAATCGATGTTGCGTTCCAACAATTCTTCCTCCATTTTTCTTTGTAAATAAAAAGCTGAAAGCCAGAGCACTCTTGGGTTTACAATTTTACATGGTGAAAAATTGAAGAACAAAAACCAAATGAGAATGCATGTGAGCGAAAGAGACTAAGAGGTGAATGCGCTGTTTGGGATTTCATTATATTTGATCATCTATTGGAAAATCTTTAACCACAATGATTAAACGAAAAAATTATTATATGTCATTTATACAAAATAATTCCAGCTTTGTTGGTGACTTTCAACAATGATACTTAGTTTATCTTAGTAGTATTTGTCAACTCTGCATTTCTAACCTCATTTTTTTCTCACAAGCATTTCATCAAACATCTATGCTTCACCTGAGATGACTTGCATCTAACATTACATCTTGAATCGTTGATGGTCCCGATAGTCCCTTGGTCGGGTCTTCTCTCAATGAACCCTTATTCAAATCAACACCTCCACATAATTCAAAGTTAGATTAGAATTTCCCATGCATCCCCGACTGAAAAGTTACTGGAAATGAGAAGAGAGAAACGAAAAAGGAAATTCGAGGTCGAAAAATAATTTGGGATTTAGAATGAAATTGAGGACTGTGTTGCAAGTTTTAAAAGTTAGGGGACCTAAATACAAGCGCCTGAAAAGTTCAGTGACCATATTGCAAACGTACTAACGGCAATGTAACGGCATCAAACGGTCGGTTACATTGGGGATCATATTGTAAACGGACTAAATGTTGGAGGACTGTATTAGAAGTTTTAAAAGTTGGAGGACCTAAATGAAATCTTTAAAAAAGTTCAGTGACCATTACTATACTTTACCCTAATACTAATTATTATTTAAAGTAAATACATTTTAATTTTAAACTTGAATCGAATTAATCAGGAAATCAATTTGACCTCGAGTTATATTAACAGTATAGACAAAATAAAATATAAATAATAAAAGTAAAAGACAAAAGTAGTAGTAATAAATGTATCCAACAAACCTTACTGAGAAAAATTGAAAACTTTAATGCATGATGATTAATATTGACACACTAGATCGAGCTACCCTCACCTACGTACTCCTCGTTCGTTTATAATTTCTTTCCTTCGTCTAATGCCAAATATAATTTCCCGGGGAATTAAGCTTTGAGAAGCAAAAATGGCGTCTGAGAACAGTGTGAGATTGAGAAAGCAAGCACTCAAACCAATTGAAACTCGCAAAAGCGAAGAAGTGAGTAAGAATAATGGGCAAACAACATGTGAAGAAGAGCCACTTAGCCCTTCATCTCGTCTGTATCACGAACAAAACTTCAACGTTTATGTTGTAGCCATCATGGGGTGCAAGACTAGAATTTATCCAGACGTTGTCAAAGCCAACTTGGGCCATACTTTGCTTAGACACCCTCGTTTCTCCAGTTTGCAGGTACACTACAAATTTATATTCATCTTCCTTCTTTGGGTGCTTGAAGCAGTTCTACTTCTAGTTTCCCTTTCTCTTCATTGAGAATGGTAGGGTTTCATTCCTTTTAAATGCAGGTGGAGGATGAAAAGAATGGAGAGATGAGGTGGGTTCCAACCCAAGTGGATCTGCAAAGACATGTTATTGTTCCAGAGTTAGACCAAAACATGGACTCACCGGACAAATTCGTCGAAGATTACGTCCACAACCTGAGCAAAACCACCATTGACAAATCCCAACCTCTCTGGGACCTTCATCTGCTCAACTTAAGAACTTCACAATCCGAGTCGGTTGGTATTTTCAGGATCCATCACTCCCTTGGCGACGGCACATCTCTCTTGTCGCTTCTACTCGCATGCACTCATCAAACGAATGATTCCGAGGCTTTGCCCTCCATTCCAATTAGGAAGAAGAAAGAGAAGAAGACTGACCGTAGAGGATTTTGGAGATTTATGTTGAGATTTTGGTTTATTTTACAGGTGTTTTGGAATACTGTGGTTGATGTCATCATGTTTCTGGCCACAGCATTGTTCTTGACAGATACTCCGAATCCTCTCAAGGGTCTGCCGGGAAGTGAGTCTACACCACGGCGGATTGTTCACCGGACGGTCAACTTGGATGACATCAAGTTTGTGAAGAATGCAATGGGCACTGTGAGTCCTTGCATTGCATATATATCCATAAGCTTCTCCTATCAGTTATTTTAGGGAAAAAATGATTAAAATCTTTTGAGGCTAATTGCAGACCATAAACGATGTTGCTTTCGGGATGACGCAGGCTGGTTTGTCCCGCTATATCAACAGAATATGTGGTGAAATTTCCATTTCTTTTTCTTTCTTTTACCACCTTGTAATTAAGATTGTATGATTCACATTTTTAATAACTTGTTAGGAGGGCACAACAAAGATGGGGGAGCAACAGAAACGAATAACCTTCCGAAAAGCATTCGTCTCCGATCAACTCTGCTCGTCAACATAAGGCCAGCTCCAGGCATCCAGGTTAATATATATCAGATAAATCTTATCTGAAACCGCAACTTATCTGATAGATCTTAATAGAGCATATGGGTTAATTCATGCCAGGCTTTAGCTGATATGATGGAGGAGGATGCTGAAGTAAAGTGGGGCAACTGGATTGGTTATGTTCTCCTACCCTTTACCATTGCTTTAAGGGAGAATCCATTAGATTATGTACGTAATGCTAAGGCCATAATCGACAGAAAGAAACGCTCCCTCGAAGCTATAGCCACTTTCTATATTGCCGACATAGCACTCAAGCTCTTTGGCATCAAGGTTTGATTTGAGTATATATATTCCTGTTGGCTTATTTCTTCAGAAACAGAGCCTTCAACTAGTGTTTGTTTGGTTTTTACCACAGGCGGCAGGTGCTCTGTCCCACAAAGTCGTATCTCGAACAACAATGTGCTTCTCGAATATGGTTGGACCTTTGGAGGAAATTGGTTTCTATGGTCATCCCATGGCTTTCCTTGCTACTAGTTCTTATGGCCAACCTTATGTAAGCGTTCCACAAATTTTATAAATTTGTCCTTTAACATAAAATTATATGTTCGTCCATGAGTGAAACGGGTATGTTTATCCGATTGATTTGTGGTTGATGACTGAACATTGCAGGCACTAATGATAAACTTCCAGAGCTACGTCGACAAGATGACCATTGTTCTGTCGGTGGATGAAGGAACCATACCTGACCCTGGCCTGCTGTGTGATGATATCGTGGAATCACTCCGGCTCATAAAGGAGTCCGCTGTGACAGGGGGCTTGCCTTGAAAGAGAAAGAGGCGAAACATAATGGAACTTGAACTCTTCAATTAATTTATATACATCGAGCAGTAAAAGATATTTTTTTTAAGTAATGAAATGATGATTGTTTGGAACTTAATTTTAAAAGTTGTTGCGTATTGATGGAAATTAGTAATAGGGTTTGGTTGTACTTATAGGTGCTAGCTAAGGCTTATTTTTATTGTTGTTTTTAAAAGAGATTTTTTCTTCTTATATTTAATTATATCTTATTAATTATATTTTCCCTTAAATGTCATTTTCATTGATCTCATCAGAAATAATTAGTTATTCTCTGAAGTATTCTTAGTAATAGAAGTTAATAACACGAATAAATCAACTTTAGTGGTTAAGATATTGTTGTTATTTCTTGATGTTTCGAGTTTGAGTACAACATCTGTAGGGGTGTATGAGCGTTCATTGTTTAATGATTGAGAATTTTTTGGATAGACACTACCTTGTATTCACTTAAACTTGTCACAAATTATTGGTAGGGCACGTAAAGGGGAAAAGGATTTTTGTTTAAATAAGCTTTATAATTTGTACTCCCTGTAACTTCTAACTTTAAATAAGAAGTAATTATGTTTAAGACCATTTGATTTCACGATCTCCTCAATGATGCAACGTACCAATCAAATTAATGTTCAATTAGCACGTAATTGATGATTTATTGTTTGCCAGAATAAAAGCATTTGGAGCATGAAGAGGGACTCAGGGCTGAAGCAATGACAGTTTTAAGTGCATGCCCTTTTCACGAATTTTGTTTTCTTATTATTCTAAGAGGTGGAAATGCATAAAGTTCCAAACTTCAAATATCATGAATCCGGTGTGTATGTTTTATGTATATATATATGCTTTGCAGTTTGGATCCTTGTCCTTCAAACAACACAGCTTACATCTGGGAATCCACCATGACTCGCTCATTCACATCTCTAGCCGTACTCGTCATAGTTACTTTATCAGCCTTGGCTATTAACGAAATTTCAGCTGCACCTGGTGCTTGTATGTTACCGGACAATTAATCCCATGCCTCAACTTCCTGAACAGCGACAGTGATGCCGACTTTCCATCACCAGAATGTTGTTCTGGTGCTCAAAGTATTGCTTGCCAAGCACGGACCAAAGATGACAGACTATATGTGAATGCCTTTCAAACGTATTAGCAAGTATCAGCACATCCGGTTCCTTCAGAGCACGGATACCTTTAATTGCTCCGAAATGCGGTGTTGATGTTTCTCTTCCTCCAATTACTGGCGAAAGTGACTACTGTTCCAAGTAACCAATCTCTTCCTTTGCATTTCATCTTTCGTTTCTGAATCTTTCCAGCGTTTAAAGCCTTGATTGAGTTTTCTTCTTGCAGGATCGCCGCTTAACACTTTACTCGGCATATCATCGTATGATGCCACAATAGGGAAGAAATGCAGTTGGAAGAGTACAAGTAATATGTTGTACTTGGTTTTAATGAAAAATAACTCCTATTTCTGGACAAATAAAAATCATACTTGATGTTAATGTGAATTCATAAGCATTGCTTCTTTATCAGCCTACATATAGCATACAAAGCTTTATGTTTCTTCCGAATTTACTCTGTTATAATATCAAAACTGTTAGCTATGTTCAGCTGCAAAATCAGGCTCGGCAGGTTTTTGAGGAAGCAGTGGTGGTAATCTTTGAGGCCGACTGGTGTTTCGCGGACCATTTTTCTGCAATGTTCGTAATGCATTGGCAGCGAACTTTGATGCATAGAGAGTGGCATCGAGACTAGGTGAGGTTCCGGACTCTTTTGCCAAAGCGTCCTGCAACTTATCGTCCGCTTCACGAAGGGATTTCGTAAGTTTCCTCTTGCAGTACCGGCGCCACGCTGCTTGTATAAAAGATGCTGCCCAAGTCTGCCACTGCACCGAGTAAAACCTGCAAAATAAAGTTTATTTGATATTAGAATTTGGTTCTGTAATTAACAAGCAATGTTTATTTCTAGACTTACTTGAATGTGTTCCGGAACTGCTTGCTGTGAAGACGCCGAAACTGGGAGGCTACGAACTTCAAGTCATCAGCCATTAAAGCAAAGGCTTCAACTTCGGTTAAGGCCTGCACGGTTCTAGTTGAGATAGGAAAGTTGGATGACGATTGGAGATCCAGGGCCCATGTAAGAAGATCATCTCTACAAAAATCACCAGCCTTCAGATGAACAGAATTGAAGAAACCAGTTCTTCCACCATTGGTGGTCGTACTTATTAGATTTCCTCTGATGATAAACAACATCTCCTCTACTGGATCCCCTTCCCGGACGATGTAGCTCTTGTCGTTGTAAAGTGCCGGCTTGAGACGATCACACATTGCATCTAATAGTCGCTCATCCATTTTTTCAAACATTGGCACCTAAAAAAAACTATAGCTTAATAATCTTTGACTTAAACGTGCATGCTCATGTTATCAAGGTAGAAATTAATAGGAAAGAACTCACTCTCTTGAGAAGATCCAAGCAAAGATGCCTCTTTATATCCCTCCTGAGATATTTCGGAAGGTTCGAAATCAACGCCTCTTCTTCAACCCCTCTGGTTTCTTGCCATTTATACTGTTCGTATTTCCTAATACGTTCCCTGAGGCTATCAGGAAGCATTCGATGCGACATCCATTGTTCTGCATCTTGCCTTCTCACTCTCATCTCCTCGACTCTAACTCCGGTCGACTGCAGATATTTCTGCGAAAACAAAACAAGTTCAAGGACTATGGATGAGTTGGCAAGATTAAGTGGCGAAAAACGGCATTGAATTAAGAAATACCTGCATATTCCCAATAAGCAGTGAAAACAGAACCAGCCCACCAATGGAAATCACTATAGCAAAGAGTACTTCCCACACAAAAGTGCTGGTTTTAAGATTCTGACCCAGAGAACTAAAATAGGACAATAAGTACAAGTTAGCAAGCAAACTATTCAATGGAATAGGTAGCCGGTGACTTAATAAGAACAAAACTGGAGGGTTATAGTTTACAAACCTTAGATTACGCATTCTTCGGAAAATCCCAGGTTTCCACCACCCCCGACTCGAGTGCATCGATGAATATACCAAAGTTGAAGGCCTTGAAATCCTTTATGTCATCAGGATTTATAAAAGGGCATGAAGCATTCAGCAATTTCACTAATGTGGTGTTTACAGTTGTAGTGTGGTTATCACAGTACAATGCACTTTCTTCACCTTCGCCTATGGCGTTACTCCAGCAGCTGTCTTCTCGTTCTATTGAGATCAAGTACCAGAAGGCCCCAACTACCTGAAATGTCATATTTCTTTAGAGATTGAAAAGCAGAAAATCGTTTGGTAACGATATGAATGATTTGTTGACTATAAGGAATAGCACTTACATGACTGGCTAGCATGTAGAGGAAGAGATTCAAAGCAGCTCCAGCCCATGCTGTTTCAGTAAGTATGCCAGAAGTCCTTGTAACTTCTTTGTAAAGAGGGAAGATTCGAATAATTCTTGGAACATATTGGGCGAAAATAATGGATTCCAATAAGTCCTTTGTGACCAATGGATCTGGGCCTTTGATTTTGGGAATTATAACTAAGAGTACCACCTAAGCAAAACAAACACAATTTGAGGTGTAACTTGAGAGTCAAGGAAAGAAATCAATTGCATTTAGTACCTGTGGGAGTGGAAGAATTGCCAGAACATCAATGATGAAGTACTTGGGCAGGTATCTCTTTGCTATTGCCCAAGGATCCTCAATCAATTCACCCCTACCGAATACCCGAGACGACGGGGCAATAAATGCAGTGCAGAACTGAAAGATCATGTGAAGTATATAAAAGGCGTCGATGATCGTTCGAAGTACGCTAGCAGTAATTTCCAATCTGTGATCCAAGTTAAGACACTTGCGATGGCCATCGACCACGGGGATGTAAAAGAACAAAGGGTCCACTGCAAGAGCAATGGCACATGAGAAGAGGAACATTTTATTCCATGTTTGAAGAAACTGTCCTTGTGGATTAAGAATCCTCTTATTCGAACCAAATGCCTTTGCCTTGTCAGTTGTCGATGTCGGATTACTTCCGGAAGAACGGAAACTTATCGGTTTCTTAAAGCTTCTGATCCTTTCAGAACCCTTCTTGAATACTCTCTGGAGACACCCCATAACTGCATGAAATGAGGGTCTAACTTTCATTTGAAATAATCCATCATCTGAATTCCAATCTTGAAACCTGAGTTGATTCGTCAAATCAATCCAAAGCAAAACAGAACGTACAAAACTGGAACTGTTTAGGCATTGATTATATGAACAAATACAAACCTTACAAAGCTTTCTCGCCGGAAAGTCATTTCAATCAAGTTCTGCGGCGGTTCAGGTGAAATATAAACCTTTGAGATCAGTTGGTTAACTCTAGTCTAAAATCCAGACCCTGCAGAAAAACAAAACCAAGCTTCATATCAGATTACTACCAAAAGTCTCATATTATCAATACCCTAAATACAGAAGTAATTAACTTAAACAATGTATAATAATACTAATAAAATGACACAACAGAAGTAAATAGTTGGTGTATCTAGAAAATCTTTTAATAGGAGCCATAAACTTCAACCTGTGCTACCATCATAATCTACCTTACCTAACCAAACAAAATATAATTTTTAAAAATTTTCAGCGTGTAAAAGACGTTAATGATAGTGTTCTTTCATTTTTTTCTTCATTTCCTTAATATTGAGTTGCAGAACTGAAAATCGTATCTACTTCAACTATGAAAATAAGTTACATAAAACAGAAAACATTTCCATGTTTCTTCAACGAAGAAGAAGAAGAAGAAGACGAAAATGAAGATCCAATAAAGACAACTTTCATAATTGATTGACTAAACAGAGAACCAACGGTGGTGGTTGTTATGTTGCTTTCTCTTCAAAACGAAGAAAGGTACGTAAAAATGAAAAACAGAAAGACTAGCCTTAACCAAGTGAAGACTAAAAAGTGATTAAGTTTCACTTCATTTTGGAAAATCCGGGAGACCAAAAAAAGAAAAGTTGTTTGCTTGATTACTTGGGAATATTTTCAGAGCAACCAAACAAAAGCAGGGAGAGAGACAAAACAGAGCAGAAGCCGTTTCTGTCTTTGGTATGATGAAGACATAAAAGCAATGGAAAATGAAGGAGAAGTTTTGTCAGCCCTTTTTAGAAGAAAACTGAAGAAAGTTTGTAGAGTGAGAGAGTCGTTAATGGCAGTTATTATCAGCAATTCTTTCACGCCTTTTCCCAAACAGAACTACAAACGGAGGGATATATATATACAAACACACATAATCAAAAAGTAATAATATAACTGAATTATGTTAAATAATTATTTTTTAAAAATAGTGTGAGCTGATTAAAATTAGGGGTTTTCAAATTAATAGTTGTTTTGAATTAATCAAATCATTAAAGTTAAACGATTTTAGTTAGTTTAATCAACTTCTCAGTGACTAAAATTTAATAGAAAGACAACGTAAATGATCAAATATAATATTTTTAAATTTGATGAGAAAAAGTGTATAAGTGTGAAAAATTAAGTGACGATTCTTTTAATTTACCCATACACTAATGACTAAAAGTCTAAAACCCTTAAACCCTAAAACTCATTTTCTTCGTCTTATGCTCTTATTGGCTGGTTCCGAGGGACACATTTTAGTTATAGGAGCCTCTGCCCCAGACCGTTTCGACCTAATCCCAGGGCCAACTCTGAGTTGTCTCCTGAAAACAGAGGATATGCCCATGCCTCGAGAAGCCTGATCATGGAAAAAGCCGACTTCGGTCACTGGGTCGGCGAGTTAAGAACCTCTCGTTCCTTGACTGACTAATTGGCGAAGACGGGAAATTAGGTACGAATAGAGCTAGGAGTAGAGATAGAGAGGGAAATATGGGTTCATCGAAGAGGAAAAGAAAGAGTGGGACTGGTGGCCACTCAGGCGATTTGGATTCGTTGAAAGAATCCGAAGGAAAGAGAAATAAGAGTAGTTTCGATTCAAGAAACAATTTGGGAATGAAATCAAAGTTTAGTGGAGACGGAGACGATAGTTCTATTACCGAGGCTGTAGGTGAGGATGGAACTTTTAGGAAGAATGCAAGTTCCAAACTGGGATTGGATAAGGATGTTGGCCGAACAGAGAATCCAAGTTCACCGGAGGAAACCGAGTCTTATTTGAGTGAAACAAGGCGTGTTTTCATCAATTTTATGAGATATGATTCTTATTTCTTAGGCTTTCTTTTAACTATTATAAATGTCTGATATTTTTATTGCCACGCCTTGCATATTTGATCAACTTCCACTTTCACCCTTGTCACTGAAGGGAGTCAAGGATGCTGGATATGAGAAGATGACCTTGGTACAAGAGGCAACTCTTCCAGCAATACTAGAAGGTTTGTTTCCTTTTTGGCATTATTTATGACCAGATTTTCTGTGATGGGACCTTTGTACTCGGTACTTTCTTGTTTGTTTATTATTGAACACTTCCATTTAATGGTGAGGAAGCCAGACATGTGAAAGAGTGCTGCAGTTGTGTAGAATTTGTTCAAATATGTTGTAAAGAATTAGTTGTGGAATGGTTAACCTCTAGCCTCTGATTTTATTATTGTGCATTGATTTTTGCTGTTCTGAGTAAATATATTCCATTTTTTCGAATCCCAACAGCTATCACAATTTTTTTTTTCTTATTTTTTAGGCAAGGATGTACTGGCCAAGGCCAAAACAGGCACAGGAAAGACTCTTGCATTTCTGGTAAGACGTAGCATGTTTGGGCCACTTTGTTGATAAGCGGTTAATATCTGCTGCATGACCCATTATTTTCTAATGATCTCTGTGGGTTATGGCATTACTCATAAGTTCTAAATGATCCTTTTTCTTTTATCTTTTTTTTTGCGGGTTGGGGGGGGGGAGAAATAACTATCTACCCATGCAACAAGATTGTTGTTTTCTATGTTTTTGTTATCTCATGTTCTTAACTTTATTGTCTCTTTTAAGGAGGGATTAAATACAGGCATCAACAATGATTAGTTACTCTGAAGTCATTGTAGTATCGATTGGATACTGGAATTCCATGAACTAGTGAAACTTACTAATTACTATATGTTGGTGCTCCGAATTATTACATGTGCTGGACTTGTTCACTTTGTTTACTGTTTTTGTTTTTTTTTATTTTCAGCTTCCATCGATTGAAACTGTTTCACAATTGCCTCCTACTAGTCCTGATTTTAAGCTACCACCAGCGATTAATGTTCTTGTAATATGTCCAACTAGAGAGCTTGCAAATCAAGCTGCTTCAGAAGCTAACAAATTACTGAAATATCATGCATCTATTGGTGTACAAGTAGTTATCGGAGGTATAAGCACTGATAAAGAGAAAAAAACCTGCGAGCAAAACCTTGCCAGGTGAGTTTGTTGTAATTAATTCTTGCTTAAGGTAATGGTTGGAAAAATGTGTTGATCCTTATTGATGTGATTTAAGGGGGAAAACAACACTAAATCATCAGAATTATGACTGAAATATGAATGGGAATGAAGATGGAACTCTAGAAAACTTATGATTACATAAAACCTGTAGTTTTAATATTAATTGAAAGAAAAGAATGAAAATGATTGTCTTGGTTGTAAAGCCTACAACTTATATATATAGACTTTCTGTCTTACAAGCAAAGTAACTAAACTTTGTTGCAAAGTTATCTATAACCCTATATTCAAACCTAAAAAATTACTAACCCTAAAAATACTTAATATCCCTAGTCGTTGCCCTCTATCATATTTCTAATAGTTAATAAATATTATAAATTTAAACTGAAATAATAATCCATTATTAGATAGATAAAGTTCTTGTGTCAGTTATCAACATTGTTAAACTTCTACTGTCATGAAGTGAAATGAGATTGAGAGAACTAAAGATGGATCTCTGTAGGTTCTGGCTTAATATGTTGAATATGAACCATCAATTTCCTGTCAACCCAAGTCCGGGTCTTCACTTTGGGTAAATACTACATTTACTGTCAAGGCCATATATAATAAGATGTGGTTACATTTTATCACCATTTTAACTCTCAGATGCTTATTGCTACACCTGGAAGGCTCAAAGACCATATTGAGAATACTGAAGGATTTGCAAGGAGGCTGAGCGGTTTGAAGGTACTTGTATTTGATGAAGCAGATCGTTTATTAGTCATGGGTTTTCGTAAAGAGATCGAAAAGATAATTGCTTCTGTTCCAATGCAACGGCAGACACTTTTTTTTTCTGCAACAGTTCCTGAAGAGGTTTCTTTCTTTATCCTTAGTGTATATCGGATATTGATGTTCCACATATTTGAGGAAAATTCTGAAATTTCTAGCTGGTGTGAAGGTCCATCAAATCTGCCACATTGCATTGAGAAAAGATCATGAGTTTATCAGTACCGTTCAAGAAGGCTCTGAAGAGACAAATTCAAAGGTGGGGTTTCCAGCCTTTTTTTGTGTGATCAGCTTGGAATTTTCTTGTTGTCCTAATTGCTTAAATTTTGGATATTTCAGGTTCGACAAATGCATATGATTGCTCCTCTGGACAAGCATTTTTCGCTTCTGTATGTTCTGCTGCAAGAACATATTGCAGATGATGTTGACTACAAGGTACATTTTTTAATTGGACAGTGGCAGTTATAAAGTTTTTTTTTCCATCTCCAAAGACTTTGCTACTAAAAAAATCACAATTCTTAAATGTTTAATATCAGGACTTAAAAATCAAATTACAATTATTTGCCCACTGTTTTGATGATCCTTTTCAAAATATGTAATCTAGCAATGTATTCTGCAGGCTATTGTGTTCTGCACTACTGCTAAGGCAACAAAGTTGGTGGCTGAATTTCTTTGTAAGCTGAAGATGAATGTTAGAGAGATTCATTCAAGAAAATCACAGAATTATAGAACAAAGGTATCTGATGAATTCCGAAGGTCAAAAGGCCTTATTCTAGTGACGTCTGATGTTTCTGCTCGTGGGGTTGATTATCCTGATGTTACACTTGTCATACAGGTAAGAAGGAATAATTTTTTCTAGTTAAAATTAAATCCACTGTTCTTGGTTGTGTTTCCTGGGAAATGTGCTGAAATATTTCAAACCTGTAATGGAATGAGGTATTCGGCTTGCGAGTTGGAATCAGTCCGTATCCAAGTGCTCTGTTTCTTTTCCATATAAAAAAGATAATATTATATTCTATCTACTGTGCAATAGTTCAACTCAGTTTTTCTACGAACATTTTATTATTACAGTTGGGTGTGCCGGCTGATCGAGAACAGTATATACATCGGCTAGGTAGAACTGGGCATAAAGGTAAAGAAGGGCAAGGAATACTCTTGCTAGCACCATGGGAGGATTTTTTTCTACATAGCATCAAGGATTTGCCAATGACAAAGGCTTCTTTCCCTTCGGTGGATCCAAACACTAACAGGAAGGTATACGCATTTTAGTAGAACGTACCTTCTAAGAATTTTAGCATGTATATATATCTATGCATTTGCAACTTGCAAGTGAATCTTTGATGGTTCTAAAATACGGTTAAACAGGTGGAGGGGGCACTTTCCTACGTAGAGAAGACAACCAAAGAGTCGGCTTATCTGGCATGGCTTGGTTACTACAATTCTATTAAGAAGATAAGCAAGGATAAGCGCAGGCTTGTGGAGCTCGCCCAGGAGTTCAGCAGAAGCATCGGTCTTTACGAAATTCCTTCAATCCCGAGACGCGTCGTAAATAAGATGGGCCTTGCTAATGTCCCTGGTCTGCGTGCAATCTAAAGTAGACCTGGACTGGAAGAAGCTCAACCATTGATTCAACCTCAAATCTCAGATCAGCCCTGCCCTCTACCTATAGGCAAGATATTATGTGAATTTCTTTTTGCAGTTGATCACTAGACATTTTGAAGTACGTACTTCCTTTATCTCATAGGTGGAAAACATCTGGTTTGTTTTTCTTTTCTAATTAAAAATTTTTTTCAGTCTTTATCATTTAATTTCCATCATCTGCTCATTCATTTTTTTGACCATGGAAATGCTTATAGTTGCACTGGAAACTTTGAGCAACGAAACTGATATTATAATATCAAAAGATGAAATCTCAAAAATTAATTGTGGGAAAGTAAATCTCCTAACCATCGCAATTAATTTATAAAATGATCAAAGGAGAACTCAGTGCCTACGCTTGTAATCCTAAGGAGATCCTATTTCAGTTACAATTGTGTATAGAGCCCTAAATTTGAAGTCTAACACTCCGTGCCCTGCATCCTTTTAACCACAAAAAACAGAGCATTTAAAAACAAAATGATTTCGTCTTTATAGTGTACATACAAGAACAAGCCAACAAGCATGAGTTGACCATCTAGTGAGAAAACCATTCATAAGGAATCACTGAGTCAGAACTCGCTTTCATGACCATGAAGCGAATCAAACAAGCCTGGTAAGTGGATTTTCTCAACGGCAAGCCATCATCATTTCTTCCCTTGGATGGATCCCCTCATCTTCCAGTGGTGATTCTTCTGACCACAGATTCGGCAATAAGATCAAAGTCCCCTGTTAAAGACAAAACAAATCCATTTGAAATAGAAGAGACAGTTCAAATCAGAATATAACTTAAAAAGAGGGTTATTATCCAATATTAAGATTCAATTTAGTTTCCATATATAATTGCTTTTTTTAAGTATTGAAAAGAAGCTACCTCAGATAAACAAGACAATTTACCTTTGGAGGTGGGATGAAGAGGGTTGGTCTAGGGACTGTTGAGCAGAGGTACCATGGAACCTTTGCTTGTCAAATAACCCACTTGAGCTGCTTCCATCACTTGGCTGCGGTACTTCTTTATTCATGCCTGAAAATGCCACAGGTCCAAGAGAACCAAAATCAAGCTGTTCATCTGGGGAACCATAGCCAGAATTATGTTCATAGGGATACAGCATGACTACAGAAGGAATGGTAGGTCCATTAGAAGACACCCCGCTGTGGTTCATGGCTGGCAGTGGGTACATGCCATATGGCATGTCGGCAGATGTACCTTGTGAAGAGTTTGAGTAGACCGATCCATTATGAGACTGGTGTGAAGAATATGAATCATGTCTATGTGACCCCCAAAGCCTCTCGGCTCTGCTCTCACCAGAAGCAGCTCCCGATTGTTCACACGTGAATCTTGATTTTTCATTTTGATTGCAACTACGGCCGTACCCAGCAGCTTGTGACTTTGAATTGGCATTCCAGTTCCCATCTCTATCACTGTGGTGGTCATTCCTATCATAACTATATTTTCCCCTCCTTGCATTTGCAGAATGGCGTTCTCTTGTCGAAACTTTCTGAAGTAGAAAAGCATATAGAAAAGTTATGAATGCTCTAATTTTCAAAGTAAAATGACACAAAACAACATTAAGATCACTTTAAAAAGACTGATTGAAGAGACTAATGGAGAATGGATAAACAGGACCATGTAACCAGCAGCATTACTCTTCAAAGTATGCCAAAGTTCAAGTACAGAAATTTAAGGTCATAAAGGCTCATTAGAGATTGTCAATATGGGACTTACGGGGTTAGGAAGGTACGTCCCAGTACCACTGCGATATCTTGGCATTTCATCAGCATGCCGTTGGTATACGCTGGCAGGTCTATTTGAAACAGATTGAAGGGGAGTATCAGAAACAATACGAGGCCCATAATTCATAAGTTGAGAGAAGTGGTTCACATTTGATGAAAGAGTTCTCCCAGGGCCATCCCATGGGAAATGACCTTGTAAATAGACAGGTGGTAGCACTAGGGGTGAAGGATAAATCAGAGGCGGAGGATATCGTGAATTTTGGCAAAACCTTCCATACTGCAAGTTTTGCCAATGGCTAGCAATGTCACCATTAAGAATGTCAGATTTATGCTCTAATGGCTCAAGAGATGCAGCTTTTCTTGTAGAACTAGAATTACTTAACACCTCAGATTGATCAAGTCTCTCAGATGATTCAAGATTTTGGCAAGATTGATTATCGAAACCCTCATCCCAACTGAAATGGTTTGTAGATGCATCTGGAGTTCCTGTTTCTGCCGGAATGTTGTACACAGGACACAATAAAAATGGTATTGGTGGCCCTGTTATGGTGAAGGCCAAGGGAGGGACTCCAGAATTATCCATAGTTCTTTGCCCTGAACCCGGATCTAAGAGGAATGGGGCAATGGGTATCAATGGATCTGAACCACTTGTCTGAGCTGTCTCAGATCCAGGTATTAGATGATCTGGAATAAGCGAAGAAAGTTGAGGTTCAGTAGTTCTTTCTGCCATTTCAGTGCCTACTATTGATGGTGAATCCCAATCTCTGCCATGTTCCTCTACCTGAGAGGAATATTCAGATATACTTTTACCTTTCTGACACGCAGCAGAAGGAAGCACAGAAGCAGATGTTTTCCTACCCCTTTTCTCCCTAGCTGGCTTAGAGACCTTTGCTGATGACCCTTCCCAAGAACTTTCTGATGAAATTTTACTTCTAAGTGAACTAGTATGTGAAGCAGTCATGGATCTAGAACTTGCAGTTCTTTCATCAAAGTAAATCTCATTACCTGCTTATTATCCGACTGAAGCATTTCAAAACTCCCATTATCAAGATCAAAACCACCACTAGAGCCTCTGTCATGTTCATGCCATAAATCACGTTCCACTTCCCCTGAATTCATTTCTGGAGGACCAAAATTTTCACTACTGATCTCAATTGGATCCTCTGGATTTGAGGCTAATCCAATGCTAGAAAAATAATGGGCCAAAGGAGAAGAAACTAATCCTTGGGGAAACATTTGAATATTTGTAGGAAGAATTCCACCCAAATTTCTCTGATTGTATGACATTGACAGCGGTTGGATAGGAAAAGGCAAGTGACCTGCAGCTAAATTTAGTGGAACAGAAACCTGACCATTAAAGCCACGAGCTGCAGAAAATGCCATCATGTTCACTAAATCTTGCTCTTCTTGTTGCATTCCTTGTGCATCTGGAATCAAAGAAAACTCCTGACTCATATTTCTGAAGCCTAAATCATCTTGGTAACTATTTAGAAGATCGTTTGGATCAGCAGCAGTATCAATGCTTTGATGGCTTGAAGCTTGGCTAAAAGATGAAGGATCATCACATGAAGATTTAATGTTACGACTTGTTATCAGATCAGATTCAATATTCTTCCTCCTGTTATTATCTGACCTCGTAGAAGCAATCTGGGTTTTCCCACTCTCTGGCGTTCTGTTCCGCCTTTGTTGAGAGGTAACTTCTCCATATGTTTCAGTAAGCTCAGGACTAGAGCACGTCCTTGCAAAAAGATATCTTCCTTGAACATCAGTCACATTCTCTGCTTTAGGAATTCTCTGACCAATACCATTACGAGTATTCTGACTGGAATTAGAATCCCATCTAACCTGATCAGAGGTCTTTGAGTGGCTCATATTACCATGACTCTTTAGGCTTTGAGTACGAGAAACAGCAGAAGCATCATTAATCTTAATTTTGCTTTCCAAAGGATTATAAACATGCTGTGAGGAAACACCCAATGATCGTCGAGCCCTTTCAGTTTGAGTTTCATGCTGTGAAGAAGCATCATTCCCTTTACTGTTTGAATTGTTCCTGATATTCTTAAATCCATGAGTGTGGTCCAAATTTGACAATCTTGAGCGCCACATATCATTCCTCGGTGCATCAGGCCGTTGCCCACTGCCATGCCTTTCCCATGTATTCATAAAGAATTGATTTACTTCATAATACAGATCCTCTTTGGGACAATCAAGTAATCTAGCCAGCTTTTTAGCACCAAATGCAAATGCACTGCGTATCCTAAAGAAATTACCTGGAAAATACAGTATTAATTTTATGCACAACAAAACCTATTATTAGCAGTGGATACAGTCAACAAGAAAATTGACAACTCTAACTTTTCCAGAAGCACTAAGATGGTGAAAAAGATTTACATGGTTGTACACATAAAAAGCTAAATAGTATTATTCCTCATTGAATCATGAGATGCTTAATCATAAAGTTGCCACTAATTGCTTTCTATTACCTTTCTTCCCTCCATTGCTCTTCAACTTGCTTTTTACCAATCTAAGTTTAATATTTTGAAAAGTTCTTAATCATGTGGCTGTATTGAAAGTTCACTGCATGTATCACCCAAAGGTCCATACAGGAACAAATGGAGGAAAAGGAAACTTTAACAGAGCAAGTAGTTAGGCCAGACATGGAAACTTATGCCAACCAAAGTATGCAGCCATAGCTTTGGAAACAGACAATGCTAAGGGAGAACAAGGTCACAAAACACAGAAATCTCAGGAAAAGAGAAGAGAAGAGAAAGAAAGGAACCACTTAAAAAGTTACAAATGTACCTTTACTAACACTTCGGCCAAGATTGTTATTTACACGCAAAGGATCGATCACATTGAAATATTTACAAGTAAAGGGTTGACCCTGATTTTCTTGGCAAACAGCGTATCTTGAACTGCAAGTATCAAGAAAATATTTGCTAAGTAACAACTCTCCACCATCTCTTCGAGGTGGTTCCGCTGCAAAAAGCATTTCAAACAAAGTAATTAACACTAAAAGCCAGGCAAACATCCGGTGATTCTTATTCAAAGCTTAGAATAATATGTCCAGAAAATGCAGTACCCGATATGTCTGGCAGTGAACTAACTGGAACAGGACCCAATAGGCTAACACAAAAGTTTTCCCAATCAAACTTGCTAAAGAACTCAAGAAAACGATACAGAACCTAAGCATGAAGAAGGGGGGGAAATAAGACATGTGGAGACAATGCAAAAGGAATTTAAAATAGAAAGTAGAAATGGAAACCTCAAGTGGTCCAGAAAATGGCTTATTGTAAACATGGAATATGTAAAGAACCAAGGTTTCCAGGGCATAAGTTGAGATAAGCCCATGATGAGCACCCAATATACGGCTCTCATAGTAACACCATGCTTTTATCAATATGATGCTACGCTTGAACAAATGGTTCTGATTTATCAAAAGATCAACCTACACACATGGGCATTAAGTTTGGTTAAAACTTGCATTAATTCATAAAGGTCTATTCATTTCAATTTCTAAAAACAAATGTTGAGACACACAGTGGCAGGTGTTGCATCACTAACCTCTTCAAGAAAACAAAGGGTACATAATCCACCGAGCTGATTAAATGAAATGTCTACCACAATGTTTTGTACAAGACACTTGATTATCTTCACCTGAAGTGCATGAGAAGCAAAAGAAAACATTAAAATAAATTCATGTATTAAAATAACAACATCAAGCAAACGTGTGGAAGAATTCTACTACTAGTTTAAAGCAAGTTGCTTCAGGAGATGATATGAAAAATAGGAAGAATAACATCAGCGCCGCAAATAAGAAGATCCCAGCCAGTAGCAAGTGTCACAAAACTGCAATTTTAATTGAAGAAATCTGGCCAAGGATACTGAAACATTGACAGATTGGTACACTTGAGATCCTAAAGAACAAACACAACATCCAAGCTTTTAGAGGAGATTCCTAGGAACTGTGAAGAAAAGACATCTCATTATGAATTTACCTCAGCCTGAATGTACTGAACTTCTTTCACTCGGAATTCAGCATTTTCATTTTTTTCTTCATTTTCAAGCATATCCCGAACCTGATGAGCCCATGTATCCTTCAAATTTTTGATTCTTACTGAAGGCTGTTAAGTCGATATCCCCATCAGGCAAATACGTCTTAAGGGGAACAGACCCAAAAGTAAACGCCTGTCAACAGAAAGCAAAGAAACTCCATATTAAAATTGGTTCATGAACTCAATAAGCCTAGTCCAATAACGTTAAAACTATATATACATCCCGTCAATGAACTGAACATGAAATGCATAGATATGAAATTTCTAATCATATAATCAACCTTTCTATTCAATCATTTCCTAAACATCGAAATCAAAAATGAAGAATTAGACATATAAGTATAACTTCATATAATGCTATTTTTTAATCATTAAGAAAAGAAATTATAATTTGATTGGACCTGACAAGGGAAGCATTTGGAGATGAGGCGTTGCACATAATCAGCAACGGCATTACGGCGACCTTCCGAGGGTGCATCGGGCTGAATGCAGGCAATGAGATCAGCGGTTCTTTCCTCAGCCTTCATCCATCGCTCGTAGTCGAGTATCCGAATCCCCGAGGCGGCTTCATTCGGTAACAACCCGTTCGGTAATAGCCCGAAGGGCGGATGCTGCGACGCACACCCTTCATACTCTCCCATGCAATCCTAAACCAATTTTCCTCGCCTAAAAACTTCTTAACCCTTCCAACAGCCAGAACGCGACCAAAAGCAATAAATTTCGAAATAGAGAAGGCAACTAATCCAAGAAAAAAAAAAGATCGTTCCTTTCAATATGTTCGGTTTCCTGGTGAATCTATGACTACCAAAAATTTAACTTTGGAGTTAGAGCTAGATTTCCCTTCTTCTTCTTTTTTGTTGTTGTTGTTGTTGTTGTTTATTTAATAATCTGCTAACAACCTATATTGCATTAACGTTTCTGAAGTAACGAAATGGCAAGTCCAGTAAATACTTCCAAAACGAAGGGGGATATTCTAATAAATTTCCCAGGTAAGTTTCCTATTTTATTTCCCTAATTGATATTCGCAAAAGTTGGATAACAGATACTAGAAATCAGAGAATTGAAGCTGGGGAAAGAAAAGAAAAAAAAAAAGAGGGAAAGGAAGTAGGAAACCAAAGGGGTAAAGGAAAGGGAAACAATGGGGGAGCGGTGAGATTATCAAAAACCCTAAATAGAAACTGCACCAATCCTGGAAATGGGGAAGGAGGACGAAATATGAAATGCAAATGAAAACATTGGGGATATATCTGGAAATACAGGAACAGAAAAAGAGAATGGTGGGGGAAGAACGGAGGCGCTTGGTTACAAGAACAAGGGATCTTGCAAACGTGATAGAATTAGCCAGCCTGACCTTAGACCCAAAACAATATTGGGTAAATTACACTATTAATCATTAACCTATTATTTATTATTTATTTTTTATTCTAACCATCAAACTAATTTTTTTAATAAAAGCGTTACTAATATTATATATTATTTTTATTTTAATTATCGACTGTTTATTAACAACGATGCTTATATGAATTTGCATCAGTTTTTAAAAATAATTTAATCGGACTAATAAGATAATGACGCATCATCCTATTCAACTAAAATAAAAGCCAAATGAATATAAAGAGAATTGAAACAATAAAGTATTTAAAAATTTGTTCCAAAATAATTTGTTTAATCTTTTGAAAATTTTTAAAGTGATGTTAATTTCATGGGTAAATTACATGTTTGGTAATTGAATTTTAATCTCTCTCCTATTTCACTTATCGTACTTTCAATTTTTTAATTTACTCACTAAACTTTATAGATTAATTTTTTTTTGTTACTCTACTATTAAAAAATTAGAGAAAATAACCTCAGTGACCGAAAATGCCTTATAATATACGATTTTAACCAACTTTTTTTGGATTTGCCAAAATGACCAACAAATTCGCAACGTGAACTCCAATTTCGCAACCCAGTTTCCAATATCGCAACGCGAATATGTAAATCGCAACACAAAAGTCAAATTCGCAACGCGATAATCAAATTCGCAACACTGAATTTCAAATTCGCAACACAAAAGTCAAATTCACAACGCGAAATACAATATTAATTTCGCAACACAAATGTAAACAATATTATCGCAAATCATAACCTAAAACCCTAAATCACAACTCAGTCACATCTCCATCTCTCACTCTCTACGGTGACATCCGTCCCCATCTCCGACGAAATCCGTCTCCATCTCCGGCGAAATACGTCTATATCCATCTCTCAGAGCAACCCTCACAACTATTCACAATCAGAAATAGAAAATCAACCACCGAGGGTTAGTTTTTTAATCTCTTATTTTTATTTTGAAATTTTTGTATTATTATTAAATTTTTCTTATATTGATGATAAATTTACTGGTAATTTCAATATATATAATGATTAACCATTTCACTGAGATTGCTTAGTAAATTCATTCGGTTGCTGCCAATACTGCTAAACTGTTTTGTCTTTAACCCTGCGAAGTTAATATTTGTCTTTGTTTTGTCTTTTTATTGAAGAAATGCAATTCATTCAAGTTTCAATTTGCAGAAGAATAATTTTTGAAACTTAAATTCGCAACACGAAAATAAAAATCGCAACGCGATTTTAGTTTCGCGTTGCGATTTTCATTTTCACGTTGCGATTTTCTCGTTGCGATTTTGGTGTTGCGAATTTAAGTTTCAAAAACTATTCTTCTGCAAATTGAAACTTGAATGAATTGCATTTCGTCAACAAAAAGACAAAACAAAGACAAATATTAACTTCACAGTGTTGCTAATTTAAGTTTCAAGAATAAACTACTACTCTTTATGTTGTCCTTGAACCTGCACTAAACCTATATGTTGTCCTTTTAAATGTTTATATAAGTTCTTACTTCTGGAATGTTATTTGATGCATTTTGTGAACTATAATGGAATAATGACAGCATGTGAATACCATGCTAGTTTGAAACATATTTGGCTTTGTTTTCACTGTTTAATATCATGTCTGTTTATAGTGTATAATTTGTAGTTTTTGGTATATCTAACTTGGTATGTTTATTGTTTTTGTAGAAATTTTTTTCGGCTGCATTGACTTTAAGGAATAAATTAAGCATAGCCACTAAAATTACGTCGACGCTTACACCTCTACAAAGAAAATTGTTTGAGGATACTTGCTTCGGGTCATGGCTGAAAGTACAACATACGGGTAGAGATGCTATGTTGACACATTTGTTTCTTCAGACCATGACTAACGATATACCTGAGAGGATACAATGTGGTGATGAAGAGATATGGTTTCATTTTCCTCCGGCACCGGCGTATACTTGTTTTGGGCGGGAGGAGTTTTGCTTAATCACTGGTCTACGCTTCGGACTCGATAAAGTAACCCGGTACACTAGTCATATCTCCCGTCCATCATGGTTATCTCAGGTTTTTCCTGAGCTGGCAAAGTCGAAGCCGAGTTTACACGTCTACGACTTGAAGAGATTATTTGTTAAAGATGGTTTTACTCGGATGGATGACCTTGATGTTGTCCGAGTATGCCATTTATTACTTTTGCATGTCCGCTTTTTAGGCAAAGAGGGAAGACAACCTATCTCTGAGGACCTAATATTATTGGTAGAGGACCTAAATGCATGGAACCTGTTTCGGTGGGGTTCATATCTATGGAAAGCTACCTGGAAGAAGTTGTCATCTTCCTTTGAGGACCGAAAAAGTTTGCGGGACGATGGTTCTAAATATACTTTGATAGGCTTTACTTGGGCCTTTAAGGTAAGAATTTATATATAATGTTTCCAAAATTATAATTAATTATTTAACAATTACTAATGTTTGTATATTATATTGTTTGTAGATTTGGATATTTGAGGCTTTCCCCAGCATGCGGACATATGCGATAAAAAGATCAAATGATATTCCTAGGGCTATTACCTGGAAGAGGATCCACATGTTGGATTGGGAAGAGTTACTCTCATATACGACGATGAATGATGTAAGTTAACACACAAATAATACCATAAATAAACAAGTTATTACTAGTACAAGTTTAACTTTGTTTGAGCTTTTATATTGTTAGGAGGCCAATTATCCATTACAGAGGCTGACACCCACAGAGGTTGAGCTTGCCACTGATTGGTGGTAAGCTAGTAAGCGGTTTTTTGATGGGACGGATGATGAGCACCCCCCACTTCGAGAGCCATCACCTAATCGAGCCTCTTCTCCACCTCCACCATCCCCTATTCCATCACATCATCGAGTCTCATCTCCACCATCACCTTATAATAGGCGACCGGCAAAGAGGCCACGACATTTATCTCCTTGTTCTCCACCTCCACGGGATGAGTTACGGGAGTTACGTGATGAGGTCGGTGTTTTGCGTCATGAGGTCGGTACTTTACATGAAGATAATGGTGCATGGTGTGACGAGGTTCGGTCTTTACGTGGTGAGGTGGATTTTTTACGCGATGACAATGGTGTGCTACGTGGTGAGGTATCTACTTTACGTGATGAGGTTGCCGCTCTACGCGAGATTATTTCATCGTTGCAGAATAAGGTTCATACTCCACGCAATGAGTTAAATTTGTTTAATACTATACTAAAAATGAAAATAACCTTTTTCAACATTATTTATTTATTTAATGATTTATGTATTAATTTATTTTCAGCGGCCTGATAAGGTAAATGTTTTACGTCGGGTTTTTCTTGTACGACAGGGTTCACGCATCAGACGTCGTGCATGTGCCATTACGTCTCCGTTCACCCTACTAGTGCCAAGACTCTGTAAGAAGAAGCCCGATGCACCTATCATCATTCAAGAGGCACCTCCTATCGTTCAAGAGGCCCCTCTCATCATCGAAGAGGCCCCTCCCACCGTTCAATAGGCCCCTATCATCATTCAAGAGGTCCCGTCGGCCGTTCAAGAGCCCAATTCACATGGCGTCATATGTCAACATATTGATAAACCCCCTCCCTTCCTGATATGATGGATACGAGTTGCCTTTCGTATGTTTTACCGGCAAGTACCATTCATCAGCAGGAGAGTGAAACACTATCGGACACAATTACGATAATACCCTTTGGGCTAAGACTGCAGTTGATTTTTATCTACATGAGCGGAGCAAGAGTTGTTATTCTGACCTATGCCAACTCGACGATGTTATGCATTTGTTTCTTGATCGGTCTTGGTGGGGTATTTTATTAGGGGTTGAAGATAATGGCTGTCTCGAAGGGGTGGTAAGTCTTATATTCTTCTTATATTGCATTTTGATTAATTTTTTTAAAATTATTAATAAATTTACTAATATATGTATTTTTTTTATAAAACATCATATTGATGCGTGGGTGTCACGTCTTCTAATAATAAGGAAATTGAGGAAAATAAGAAATACTCGATGGACTATTATGCCGACGTCTTTTCACGTAACTCACTTAAAGGATCCGAGAGATGCTTCATATATGTTGGGTAATGGAAAAGCTAAATTTTATCCTGTGTGGTGGGAGGTCGATAAGGTTAGTATTTATTTTTTGAATATTTTAAAGGTTTTCATAAATTTTATTTCATGTGCGCAATTATTTATGAGTGCAGGTGTTTATCCATGTTTTGAAACGTCGTCATTGGCTTCTCGTCAAGCTTCAGCTCCCATCCCTGAAGACAATGGTATATGACAGCATCTTGAATTACATACCATTGTCTGATTTGAGAGATATTATTTGTAAGGGATGAAGCGCTCATTTGGCGAAATACTTGGACGCGATTGATTATTGGACTAATTCTAGAAACAAGAAGCCAAAAAAGTTCAAAGTTACAATGATCATAGACGATACCGCACCACAACAAACGGAGGGAGCCAGAGGGGATTGTGGTCCTCTTGTATCCATGTGCTTGGAGCGTTTGACGACAGGAAGTAAGCATCTTCTACCTCTCACAGATAGAGATAGAGCTGCAGTAGGCTTATGGTTTCGGCATTTTATGGCTCAAGCGATATATGCGAGACGTTGCCTACCTGTATTCATGTGCTGAAAGTTTGCATAAACAATTGTTAAGTTTGAGCAAGTGTTGTTAACATATATACTCTTTGTTGGTTTGAAAATGTTTGGTTAAGTACCTATAATTCAATAATTTGTTGTTTGTTGGTTTTAGATGTGTAGAAAGTGTTGTTTGAGCAAATGTTTGGTTTCTGCAGGTTATTCCTGACGTGAGCTGCGTGAAATTGATGTATTTG